GCTTTCTGTGAGGCACATGGGGTGGCTGGACAGGAGGAAGAAAAGGCATCTGGTCAAATTCTTCCCTGTCATCCCCTCTCCCGGCTGGGTCTCTCCAGCCCCAAGGGTGAACGTTGTCCCCATCAGCAGTGGCACATGCAGGGGGTGAATAGGAAGCCTAGTATCAAGGGACAAGGCTGCCTTCTAAAAGTGCATCTCGGCTCAGGGGAAAAGGGCCCCTCCCTGAGGCCCCTTATGAGATGGTGTGCTGACCCTAGGCCCCTCAAGTCCCCACTTGGTTAGGGCCTCCTTCATGCAACCCCTGGTCCTTCCTCAGCCCAGCCCTGTTCCAGATGAGGGTGGGTGTGATGTCTGGATGGGGCCCTCTAGAGCCCAGTGGGGAAGCCCAGGCTGTCCCAACTTTGCTGTCACTCACCCCCCACAAGGACACTGAGCTCTGTGTGGTGTTGCATGAGCTGGCTCCCAAGACTCTTCCTGGAGAAGGGGCCTGGAACGGGGAGGGCAGGTATGGTTGCAGCCGCCCTGCTGTTCGTGTGTACAGAAGCTCGTCTGTTAGTTAACATTACTCACCTCACTGCCTAACGGTCACATTTCTCACAAGATGGGAGCTGGGTGGACACAAGAATGGGTCTGGACATCAGAAGTACAGCCAACATTTATTGAGTAGCAGCACAGGCCCTAGGCCAAGTGCTGGACAGCGTCACCTTTTCTGCCCAAGGTTCTGGAGCACAAGGTGCAAGAGTTGCCCAACTCGTTGAATAAGGAAACTGAGGCCAGAGAGGCCAGTCTCACACCCTCCTCCAGGCCTCCCTCCAGGCCTCCCTCCAGGCCTGTATTAATGAGGATGGGCAGCTTCTGTGGAAGACCTGAGTCCAGGTACCAGTTGGCGCGGCACAGATCCCCCAGGACTCATGCTGATGTGAGCCAGTTGCTGAAATACTGCAGGTGGTGGGTAACTGCTGCCTCCAGCTCCCCCTCCTCTGCTGACCACTGTGGCCTCCTGGGCCTCCAGGGCTCCGGACCCTTCCCATCTCATGGCTGGCCTTAGCTCTGATTGATCAGTGCCTGGTCCTTCCGGTTGTTAAATATTTTGACTGTCACCCCAGGGTTTCAGGAAAGGATTTGTCACAGAGCTGACCTGTACTGTAGTTCTCCCTAAGCTACAGAAATCTCTGTGCCCTGGGAGACGGCCCTCTTGGTTCGCAGAAAGACCCAGCTGGGAGCTTCCGATCATTATGGATCTGGACCCAGTTCTGCCTAGAAACAATCCTCTTTCTAGCCTCAGCTTCCTCCTCTATCCAAACCAACAACAAAGGCTAACACTCCCTGCCTCCCTCACAGAGGACCCTCCAGGTAACTTAGTTGGCGACCTGGAGGCTTTGCCTGTGTGAGTGTGTGAGCGTGTGAGCGTTCAGAGCCTTCCAGGCCACAAAGTCCTCTTGCAGAAGCAGACTCAACTCCCACCCCCACCCAAACGCTTTCTTTCCTGACAACCAATATTGCAAAATTAGTCTTCAGTTCTGAACAAGAACAAAAATCATTAGGATTTTTCAGCAGAGACTTGCTTTTGCCTGTATTTGCTGAACCCCACACCGGGGTCTCTGCTGTTTGTTATTTGTATTTTTCCTTGTCACGGACGAGCTGTTTTCTGAACCCAGTTGTCCATGCTCCAGGGAAGTGCCGGCCTCCCACACGGTGCTCAAACTGGCCTTCTCTGGCTCCCACGTGGGGGGAGAGGGAATTGAGATTCCAGATGGCTTAGGGAGCCATGGTGGGATGGAGGAGACAGAGAGAGAGACACAAGGGAGGGGGAGTGTGGAGCGCTGAGGTAAACAAATTCGAGGCCAATTACCCATGGCAACCTTGTTCCCCCTCCACACACACACACACACACACACACACACACACACACACACACCCATGAGGGGAGATGGCTGGAAAAAATAACATGGAACCAACCACATGATGGTGGAAGTTGGTGCCCAGCTGGGAATTTGCTGTCACCCCTCCCCCAACTCCGTGGAGTCGTAGGGGGAAGGAGAAAATTTCAGAATCAAACAGGACAGGGAGGTTGGCAGAAGGGTCTGTGAAGCTAACAAGGACAAAAACAGTTAGGAGGGATGGGTCTGTGATCAGGAAAGAGGAGAGAGAGAAAATGAGAGCAGGCGCCTGGAGCCAAGATGTTGTCCACCCCTCACCAGCCACCCGCTGCCCCCTCCTGCAGTGCCTGTTGGGTAATGAGGGCCCAGGTCTGTTCCAGACACAGAAGTCCCCTTCCTATAAGAACATCTTTTTGTCCTTGAGCGGGTGGTGATAGATACAGAAACCATCTCTGAGTAAGGAGGTAAGTGGCCCAGGGTCACTGGGAGAATTAATATCATAATTGAGAATAACAGCTAGGCCTCCTATTTACTAGATAAAATAGCATCAGGGGATGTGCTGAGAGATAGGAAAATAGAATTTGAAATCATTTTTTATTTCTCTGCAAATGTAGTTGGTGTTGCATTTTTTCTTCCCTCCTCTCCCCCGGAGAGGCTAGAACTGCCACTTTTTCCCATTCATGCACAGATGCTAAGACCTGTGTTCCCCTGGATTTCATATCCACCCATCCTCCAGGACAGTTTCTCCAAGCAGGATCCAGGGACTGGCAGAGAATCACCATGGGTGGGACCAGCATGGTCACCAAGTTCACTCCAGGGCTACCCCAGAATGTCAGAAGTGCACCTGGGAGCCAGCTCTCCCTGTGCCAAGAGCTCAGGACAGGGGAGGGGGTGGCAATTCAAACCCCAGCTCTGCCCACACTAAGGCCCCAGAGCCTCCATTTCACCACTCTATGAAACAAATCTCTCTGGAAAGGCTGTTAACATCAAGTCCAACAATACGCCAAATGTCTTGGAGGTGCTGGTGTGACCAGGTGGCCATGTTGCCAGAGATGTCCTTACCTACGCAATGGTTAAAGGAAAGGGCTTTTAGGGCAACTTATGTGAGAACGTTCAAGAGCTATGGAATTAATTGGAAGGTGTTGACTATAGAAATAACGTAACAGAAGAAAATTACCTCTAAAGAATTAGAACAAAGCAATTAGTGAGGAAGAAAAATGGCCTAGAGGAGGAGTGAGACACATGCAAACAGCTGTGGTATTGAGACCCAGGAAAGCACAGCCCATCAGTCAAGGTACCCAAGCTGCAGGGGCCTCAGGAACCGCGTGAGAAACTGAGGCTGGCAAGCAAATGGAGGCCAGGGCCACAAAGGCAAGACCAGGTTCCCAAGCAGCGGGACAGACGGGAGGTAAGTGACAATTAGATATGAGTTCTAGTTTCTGTTCTGCATTCACTGGCTGTGTGACCTTGAGCGTGTCACTGAAGGAGATTACAAGCAATGAGTGTTCAGATCCTTTCCAGGTCCCAACTCTAGGAATCTAAGTGCTCTGGAATATTGGGGGCTGGTGGGAGACAGGCTGGACCAGGAGGGGTTGGAAAGCCCTTGGAATACAATAGAAGGAGGCTGGAATCTCTCTTTGGGTAGTGGCATTGGGCAAGTTCCTCTACCTCAGTGTTTTCATCTGTCAAATGGGAAGAAGCATCTCTGCAGAGGCTGTTGAGAGGGGAAACGTGGATGAAACATGGGAACAGGCTGCACTGTGCTTGCTTCCTAGCCAGGTCAGCCCTGCTCTGGGCTCCCTGCCCTCTGTGAGGCTTGGATAGAATTGACACCTTTCATTCCTCCCCTGGTCCCTTGGAGTGGGCCAAGACAATTAGCATATCCCATCCTCCTGGCCACAGTGATTGGTTTGGGAATGGGCATGTGACCTGAGCCAGACCAATCAGAAAGAATCTCAGGACTTTTGGAAGACATGCCTGCCCCCTGACAAGCTCTTCCACCGTGTTAAACAGGAAGCTTGTGGTCTCAGGAATACTGAGTGTTCACACAGTGAGTCCTGGATCCAGTCATACCTGAGCCAGCCTATTCCCTTGTTTGCTGAAGCCAGCTTGGGTCCTGGCTTATTCTCAGCCACTATTTAATAAAACCTCTTCTAGCCGACCAAATCACCAGCTCATTTGGAATTGAGAGCACCTTCTCAGTGCCCGTGTCTAGCTGTCACCTCTAGCATGCTCCATCATCCCCACAGCAGCAGGCACCGAGTCCTCAAATGTGGCCACTGCTGCCTGGCCCAGCCACTCCTCCTACTCAGGAGCTCCACGCACTCACCTGGCTATTAAGCATTGCCAGGAGCCAGCCCCATCTCCGCTCTGGGCCCCTGTGCAGCCAGGCTTGGAGCTGCATTAAATAAAGACTGCAGCCCTGAAACTGTTCAAATGGATCTACATCAGTGAGGACAGCGAGGGGACGCCTTTAGACAGATTATCTCCAAGAGCCAGCCAGGGCAGGCAAAGTTTGCCTTCAGCATTATTCTCTCCCTTGTTCATGTGTTCTCTCCCTCCTCCTCTGCTTTTAGCTTGCCTCACTCCAAACCCTGTCATAGATTAATTCACACGCTGTGGCTGAATAGTTACTCCTCTAGATTTGAGAGAGGAATAGAACATAGGAGTGGACAATGTTTAACCTAGGGAGGCTGTACCTCAAAGTCCATTCCGTGCAGAGTTCAGTTCAGGTTTGTGTGCTCTCTCCTCAGGTAGGATGAAGCAGGAAGCAGGGAGCCTGGTTCTTGGTCAGGGGTGCCTTGGGGCCTGGGATCAGATTTCCTGCTTGGCCAGGGGAGAGATCCATCAGTGGTGCAGGACCTTGAAGGAGAATCTCCAGGAAGGTGGTATCTAGGAAGTCAGGGCTTCCCTTGGGGGAGGTTGCCACAGACCCCACTGCATGGCCAGGCGCCCCCCACCTTCACCCAAGGAGCCAGGCTCCCCACCTGATGGCACTAAGGGCCTTGTTTGCATCCTTGCCAAGTGCCAGGCTCTACCTAAGGGCCTCAGGTGCATTATCTCTTTTAATCCTCAAAACTAGATTATGAAGTAAGTACTATTTTAATCTCCATTTTACAGATGCTAAAAGTGAGGGCCAGAGAGATCAAATTGCCTGGCCAAGGTCACCCAGCCAGGGAGCCACAGAGCAGGCTTCAAGCCCCAGGAGGCTGCTCCAGAGCCCAACGCCTGACATCTGCACGACCCATCCTCCCTGGTAAGCGTGTTTTTATATCCTGCGGCATCTATGGCTATTGATTATTGCCTACCATACACCAGGCACTGAGCTAGGCAGACACCAGTCCAGTTCATTTTCTCTTCATAACCAGCCTACAAGTTAGGCTGAAGAGCCCCATTTCTCAGACAAAGACACGGGGGGGGGGGTGACAGAAGAGACGTGACTGACCTCAAATCATTCAGCTCATGAATGGCAGCGCTGGGATTCGAACTCAGGCCTGCCTGATTCTAACATCCATGCTCTCTGTCCTTTAGGGTCCAAGGACTGCTGGGTGTGACGACTTACAGAGAACTTTTTATTTTGGAATTATTATAGATTCACAGGAAGTTGCAAAGACAGCACAGAGAGGTCCCATGCACCTTCATTCAGTTCCCCCCATGCAGTGGTTACATCCTACATAACTCTAGAATAATGCAAGACCAGGAAACTGGCATTGGTACAACATGTGCATATTGTTCTGTCATTTTATCACCTGTGGAGATTCCCGAAGTCACCACAGCAATCAAGATACAGAACTGTCCCATCACCACAAAGATGTTCCTTGTGCTGTTCCTTTATTGTCACCTCCATCCCCTTCACCCTCCCCAACCCCTGGCAACCACTAATCTGTTTGCCATCTCTGTAACTGCCGTGGAAGTATATGATATGTTAGCTCTTGAGAATGGCTTTTCCACTCGCAAAGTATTTATTTTAAAATAAATAGTTATTGAGTGTCTACTACATATCAGGCTGGTGTTAATCCCTTTCAGAAATATATTACATAAGATTCGGTTGGTTGCAAGTGATAGAATCCACCTCATACTCTATTGTAAAAGGGACTGTGTGGTCCGGCCGAGTGGCACGTTGGTTAAGAGCTGGCTTGGGACACCAGCTCTGAGCAGCAGGGCCCCGGTTCGGATCCCACATGGGGGCCAGTGACACTGCCCTCTACAGCTAAGATGGTGAACAACAGCTCGACCTGGAGCGGGGCTGCCGTGAGTCGCCGGCGACAGCATAGGCTGCAGCCCCTGCTGCAGTGGGCTGCCATAAGCTACTGTGAGTGGCCGGCAGCCAGCATGAGTGGCTGGCAGGTGGTGTGAACTGCCAAAAGCCTCTGTGAGCGGCCGTCCGGTGGCCGGCGACTGATCTGCCTCACCCTGGAAGAGCACAATGATACCAACTTGGGCCAGTGAAGCAACGTCCTCCACAACTAGACTGAAGAACAAAAGGACAGCAACTTGGCTGGTCCCCTTCCCCCGATTCCCCAGCACTGTTCCCTTCCCCCAATTTCCCAATAAAATCTTAAGAAACAAAAAGGAGTGTGCTGGCACGGATAATGGGGAAGTCTAGAGGTGGGGCTGGCTTCAGGCCCAGCTGGACTGAGGGCCTTGTTAGGCCTGCTCTCATTCCCACGTTTTGGCTCTGCTCTCCTCTGTGCTGGTTTCCCTCACAGGCTAGCTCTCACCACCTGGCAGCTGCCAATAGCTCTGGTCCGATATCCTGCTCACTCACAGACCCAGGAGAAAGAAGCACCCCTTTTCCTTAGAAAAGTTCCAGCAAAGATTGTGGCCTTGATTGGCCTGGCTTGGTGCCTACATGACCATGAACCAATCACTGATGGAGGTGGGTGAGGGAGTTTGCAGTGCTCTGATTGGCTAGTTCTTGGTCTTGTGCCCTCTTCTGGAGACAAGCCTGATGTCAGCCTTGTCCAAATCACAGGAATTGGAGGGAGGGGCATAAGGAAAATTTAGGGTGTTATTGCTAGAGGAAGGGAGAATAGGTATTGGGCCCATGAGATACATGTTGGTATTATACTACCTGAGCTTAACTCATTTGTTTTTCAAAAAATATGAAGAAAATCAGACTTAGAAAAACAATGATCCACTCAAATTCAGAGCTCTAGGTCCTGGGAACAGTCCTGCTGGGACCTGAATCCCAGCTGGAGATGCCCACCCTCCCTCACTTCCATGTTCAGATGCAAAATGGAAAGGCTCTGGCATCCAAGCAAGGCCTTCAGCAGGGCCACCCACTTTGAGACTCAGCGAATGGACCATGTGACCCTCCAGGCCTGGGGAGCCTCAAGTGAAGGCTGGCCCTTTCCCCCCTCCCACACACACACATGCAGGCTGGCACAGAGCTGTTCACAGTCCCACCCCCATGCGTGTGCAGGCCCTGGCACCCACTACACACGTGGACTGCCACATGGCACTGGGAGAGCCAGGAAGAGACAGCCGCCATCCCACAGTGAGGACAGGCAGATGGAGTGAGTGACTCAGCACAGAGGCCAGCTGTGGCCAGATGAGAAGAATAAACAGGAAGGCTGGAGGCCAAACCTGCCACGGCACCCCTCAGAGTGGGGCGGGGATGGCAGGGCCGGGCGGATGGTGACAGACAGACAACAACGGGGACAGAGGAGATGGATGGCTCCATCAGGCCCAGCAGAGTGAGGAAAGCCAGACAGATGGTCTCATTAAAGAAACCAGCCCGCATGAGGGAACAGGGCTCCAGTGCGGGAGTGGGGGGATCAAGGCAGGCTCCTTCCTGGCAGGGCTCCTCCAGGCCTGAGTTTCAGCTGAGGCTTGGGCCCTGCCCTCACTCTGTCTAAGGAGGCCACCAGGTGCAAGCGCTGCTGGGACCAACAGTTCAGAAGCCCTGGCCACAACAGGTGATCCGTGAAGCCCTTGACCTGATGTCCTGTCCCAGCAAAGCCCCCCTTGCCCCAACTTGTCATTGCTGACAACGGTTTGTTGAGCACCTGCCACCCAGACACCATACTGGGCATTCTAGGTGCATCACCTCCACGTTTTCTTTCTGTCACCTTGACCTGGAACTCTCTTCCTCCAGGTCCCCACACACTGACTCAGTGGTCACCTCCTCCTGGAGGCCTTTCCTGACCACCTGACCTGAAGCAGCCCCAACATTCTCTCGCCTAAGACACCATTTTGTTTTGTCATAACCTCACTATTATCTGAACTCATCCCATCCATTTACTCCCTGGCTGGCCCCTACTAAAACAAGAGGTCCCCCAGGACACCGACCAGGTCTGTCTTGTTCTTGGCTGTGTCCCATGTCTTAGAACAGTGCCTGGAACATAACAGATGTCCAATAAATGTGTGTGGACTGAATCTTCACAGCCCAGAGAGGGGCCCTGCCGGAACCTCCTCTCCCTGCCTCTGCTTCCTTTTTCTCCTTAGCACTTCCTGCTATCTGTCATTCCATGGATTTGTCTTCTCCATTCTCCATCTCCCCACTAGAACACGAGAGAAGCAATTTTTGTCTGTATTTCCAGAGCTTTGTTGGATTAATGAATGGTCCCAGGATAGATACTGTCACCCGAGGAAGCTGAGAGTAGGAGGAAGGGACCTGCCCACAACCTCATAGAGAGTGGGGGCCAGGGCAGGACTCAATCCGGGTTGCCTGGCCCCAAGATCACAAGCCCCCATATGCTCCTTCTGCCTGCCAGGGGATAGCACCAAGACCCTGAGCTCATTGCAATGGCCAGCATGGTAGCTGAGTAGTGGCCCCCAAAGATATCCACCTCTGAATCCCTGGAACCAGTGAAAATGTGACCTCGTCTAGCAAAGGGATCTGGCAGATGTGGTTAAGTTAAGGGTGTTGAGATGGGCAGGCTGTCCTGGATCACCCAGGTGGGCCCTAAATGCAATCGCAAGTGTCCTTATGAGAGGACTGCAGAGGGAGATTAGACACAGAAGTAGAAGCTGAAACAACAGAGAAGAGGTTGGCACGGTGTGAAGGGAGGCAGCCGTGGAGTGCAGGTGACCCCAGAAGCCAGGAAAGGCAAGGAAACAGATTCTCCCCTAAGACTCCAGAAGGAGCCAGCCCTGCCCACACTTTCACTTTAGCCCAGTGAGACTGATTTTGGGCTTCTGGCCTCCAGAACTGTCCAAGATTAAATTTGTGTTGTTTTAAAAGTCACCAAGTTATAGTTTCAATGTTGCCAGATGAAAAACGTCCAGAGATCTGTTTCGTAACCATGTGAATATACTTTTCATGACTAAACTATATGAGGTCAGAGAATTAAGTTCACAAACTCAACCTAGAAAAAGTGCTACACACCTCATTGCTGAATGTCACTACAATCACCTTCGAAGTACTCCCCTTGGGAAGCTATGCACTGACGCCAGTGCCTTCAAAGCAATTTTGGAACTCTTTTTCTGGAATGGCCATCAGAGCTGTCGTCGAATTATCCTTGATGTCCTGAATGTCATCATCAAAACGTCTTCCTTTCAATATTTCCTTTATCTTTGGGTAAAGTACAAAGTCATTGGGGGCCAGGTCAGGTGAATGGGGGGGAGTGAGTAGGGGGACTGTTTACTGGCTAAAAACTCCCTCACAGACAATGCCGTGTGAGCTGGTGCATTGTCGTGATGCAAGAGCCATGAATTGTTGGCAAAAAGTTCAGGTCATTTTTGTCTAACTTTTTCATGCAGCATTTTCAGCACCTCCAAATAGTAAACTTGGTTAACTGTTTGTCCAGTTGGTACAAATTCATAATGAATAATCCCTCTGATATCAAAAAAGGTTAGCAACATTATTGCAACAAGTTTGCAAACTTAACTGTCAAACCTCATATACTTTAAAATGGTTAAGATGGGGGCTGGCCAAGTGGCGCATTGGTTAAGAGCCGGCTTGGGAGAGCCAGCTCTGAGCAGCAGGACCTAGGTTCGGATCCCACATGAGGGCCAGTGACGCTGCACCCTCTACAGCTAAGATGGTGAACAACAGCTCAACCTGGAGCTGGGCTGTCGTGAGTCTCCAGTGACAGCGTAGGCTGCAGTGGAGCTGGTCAGCAGCGGGCATGAGCTTTCGTGAGTCGCTGTGAGCGGCCGTCCAGTGGCCGGCAAGTGACTGCCTCAGCCGGGAAGAGCGCAATGATAATACCAACATGGGCCAGTGAAGCGACGTCCTCCACAACTAGACTGAAGAACAAAAGGACAGCAACTTTTCTGTTCCCTTTCCCCAATTCCCCAGTGCTGTTCCCCTCCCCCAATTCCCCAATAAAATCTTAATAAATAAATAAATAAATAAAATGGTTAAGATGGTAAATTTTAGGTTCTGTGTTTTTTAACACAGTAAAAATAATGGAAGAAAAAGTCACCAAGCTTGTGGTAATTTGTGGTAGCAGCCACAGGGAACAAATACTGCCAGCTTGCAACTAGCCAGACCAAAGGCACTGACCTGTGATGGGTCAGAAAGGCCAGTCCAGGCCCCTTCCTTGGGTGAGCCTCCTACAGTGTCAGACAGGGGACATGCGGGGAAGTGGGGAGCCAGCTCTGTGCTGTTGACTGGCTTGACAGAAAGAGAATAAGAACCACAAGAACTGGAAGTATCTGCCCTTCCTGAAAGCTGAGCACTACACACACATTTCACTTCCTCTCATAAGCATTTCTGCTAAGTGGTGTCTACGATGAACCCCAACTTCCCCACAAGGAAACAGCTCAGAGAGGTGAGGTGATTTGCCCAAGGTCACACACCAAATAGCAGAGCTGGGTTCCTAATCACCATTTCCTGCCTCACTCAAGGCTGATTCAGCCAGTGTCACATAACCACTGTCACGGGCTTTCAAACGCCCTAATGCTGCTTTTCAGCAGCTTTTATAAGAGCCATAGTATTGCCTTCTTTCTCTCTGTTTGTAACCTGGCATTCTCTTTCAGTTAATCATAGACCAGAGAGTCTCATTCTGTCCCAATACACCCACATGTATGTGAGATTGCCTAGAAAAGTGCAAAAAAAAAAAATGAGTTAGCTCCTATTCTATGTACAGTTCTCTAAGGCCCTACAGCAGAGACTGAGATGGTGGGTTGCAAAGCAGTGGCACTAGGCCACACCTGGCCTGCAGCAGGAGTTGGCTCGGCCTGCA